ATTCGAGAAAAGTGGACCCGCACCTTTTCAATTTCAAAAATTTCGAAAACGGACTGTGGCCTCCTCCGCCTCCTATGCGCAGCTACCCGTCCTACGCGGTCCTGGACCAGAACCCGTGCGGTCCCATGGGCAGCTACCGGTCCTACAGTTTCAAATAAGATGGCACCACCCCCTAAACTACCATGCCTTGTTTTTCCAGCCTTCCAACGACGGTATAACGAAGGACGAAAAATGTTCTCAGGGGGGGAAAACGCACCCCTGACGGGCTGCGAACTTTTCCAGGGAAGACGTCTAGATTCCGGCGTTGAATCCAATCCATGTTGCTAGTGGGACCACGCCCCAGGCTGTCCAGGGGGATGTTTTTTTTTTCGGTCATTGCCAAAAAATGGACTCTGCCTTTCTTCAGGGCACGGCGGGTGTCACAGAACAGTCCCCGGCTATGCAAAAAATTCGCACGCAATTCTCGAAAATGTGGCGGGCGCATCTGGCCATGCTCTGGCAGGCAGTTCATGCTCAAATTTACACATTTCGAGAGTGGTGTGGCGCGGCCTTGTGATGCCTGGGAAATGGCCGCGCCGCGCCACTCGACACATGCAAAGCGAAGAAAAAAAACTCGATGCATATATAAAAAAGGGAAGAGAAACTCGACACTTATGAAAAGGGAAGAAAAGGCGGGAACTGGACGGATCGGGAGCGCGGCGCGCGGATCGAGAGCATTGGCAGCGGCGGGATCGGGAGCCATTGTCAGCGGCGGGATCGGAAGCCATTGTCAGCGGCGGGATCGGGAGCTGGACGGATCGGGAGCGTTGGCGCGCGGATCGAGAGCGTCGGCAGCGGGGTCGGGAGCGTTGGCAGCGGCGGGATCCGGAGCCATTGTCAGCGGCCTGATCGGGAGCTGTGGCAGCGGGATTAGGAGGGGGAGGAGAGGGAACGAGGGAGAGGAGAGGGAACGAGGGAGAGGAGAGGGAACGAGGGAGAGGAAAGAGGACCGCTATAACGGGGGTGAAGTGGGAGCGGGGACGAGAGTAGTGGCAGCGGGATCGTGAGGAGTGAAAGCGGGAGAATAGCTGAGACAGGACAGGTGGAGCGAGGAGGAGAGGCGAGAGGATTACTTAGGAGGGAAAGGAGAGGAGAGGAGAGGAGAGGAGAGGAGAGGGCAGGAGAGGAGAGGGGGCAGCAGCAGGCATATTTCGACGACAAGCAAGAGAAGACAGGTGGAGAAGAGAGAAGAAGAGGGCAGCAGAAGCATCCCTTCAGCAGCGAAGGAGAGAGGAAGGAAAATTGGGGATGGCGAGCAAGAGTAAATGGAGCAGCGGTCTATTCGACTGTTTTGCAGATTGTGAAACCTGTACGTTGCATCTCCTCCTCCTCCCCGTGCGATAGTTCCTCCCTCTCCTTTGTGCGGTTCTTAGTCTCCGTACATGTTCTTAGTCACCTTCCGTGGTTAGATTCAACACCTCGGCAATTCATTGACGCGATCGGTTGATCTTGTTTCTTTCCTTTTCCCGCGTTGTCTTTGGTGCTATTTGCTTCAAATTTGTTTCCCATTTATCGAATAGAACGTACGGTCATTGCAGTCGCATTC